TTGCAAAATGGTACAGTCACTTGGAAGACAATTTGGTAGTTTCTTACTAAACTAACAAACAATTCAGCACTTGTACTCCTTGATATTTATTCAAATAAGTTGAAAACATATGTCCACATAAAATCTGCACATGTATGTTTATAATAGCTTTTTTCCTAATTGCCAAAACTTGTAGGCAACCAAAGTGTCCTTCAGTAAGTGAATGGATCAATTAATTGTAATTTATCCAGACAACAAAACATTATTTAATGCTAAAAGAAATAAGGTATCAAGCCATGAAAAGACATGGAGAAAACCTAGATGCATATTATTAAGTGAAAGAAGTCAATCTGAAAAGTTTACCTACTATTTGATTTCAGCTATATAAAATTCTACAAAAGCAAAAACATGAAGATAGTAAGAAAATCATGGTTTCCAGGGTTTGGTGGAGTAGGGATCAGGCAAGAGAAATGAATATGTGGAGCACAGAGAATTTTTAAGACAATAAAATGATTTTGTATGATACCATAATGGTGGATTCATATCATCGTACCCCTAGGAAGGGTATAATATCAAAACCCATGGCATATATATCAAAAGTGAATACCAGTGTAAAGTATGGACGTTGGATGATAATAATATTCAATGAGGTTCATTTTTAACACTTTAGCATGCAATGTTTATGATGGGGAGGTTATCCATATGTGAGGGTGGGAGTGTATGGGAATTCTGTGTACTTTCTACTGGATTTTGCTATGAACCTGAAAGTGCTCTTTAAAAAGTCTGTTTTTCAAATGGGAAGAAATTATTAACTCTGGGAGGAAAAAAGTTATATAAGAAAGAAATTGTTCTCATAATTCACAGCTCAGTTCAGCCATAAAAATATTTATATAGTCATAAATTTTAAAATATTGATACAACCAAATTTTAGAGAAAAGTATGTAGAATGGCAAAGAATACAAAGAGAAGTATGTAAGAATTATAATTCACACCTTCCATAGAGAAAATCAATAGATAATATGGAAATGATAAATGCATAATGCCAATATGAACATAATTTTAATAAAATAAAAGTAAATGCATTAGGAAACACTTTTAAACAAATGAAAATGATTGCTTTTCAATAGGATACTTACTGATGGAAAAGACTACAGACAAATAATGCTATTTTGGTTATTAGTTTTAAACTATGTTATTAATAGACAATGGATAGTAGGTAATCTAGAAAGCAAAGAAGTAGTAAAATATAGCATTTATCATCCAAACAATAAGGCCCAAATAAATCTTAGAAATTAGAGTTTAATGTTATAGGTTAAAATGTGCCTGTCCCAAATTTATGTATTGGAACCTTGATTCCTAGTACCTCAAAATGTGACTTTGTTTGGAAATAGGGTCATTTCAGATGTAATTAGGTAAGGTGAAGTCATTAGAGTAGGCCCTAGATCAATACAACTGATTTCCTTATAAAAATAGGAAATCTGAACACAGACTAGCACCCAAGAAGACTATCATGAGAAATGAAGGCAGAGATCAGGGTAATTGTGGGAGTCAAAGAATGGTAAAGTTACCAACATGCCATCAGAAGAAACCAACCCTACTCCAAGCTGATCTCAGGTTTTTAGCCTGCAGAATTCCCACTTATTCTACTTGTTACAGCAGTCTAAGAGAAATAATAGGGCCATATATTAGAGAGAAGAACTAAAGACAGCTCAGTTGTCTATGAAATCTCATCAATATCTTTAAAATTTGGGGGGGACTCCTCAAGGATAACATTCATATATTGTATTTTATAGTATTTATTAGACTGATTATTTCTTTTTTTTGTATTGAAAAAGAAAAGTACTGGGGTTTGCACTAAGGTTCCTGTGCTACTAGGCAAGTGCCCTACCACTTAAGCCATGCCCCCAAGCCTTTTTGCTTTTAGTTTGCTTGACAGATAGGTCTCACATATTTGTCTGCGCTGGCTCTGAAACATGAGCCTTTTACCTCTGCCTCCAGAGGAGCTGAGATTACAGGTACATGCCACCGTGTCCACCAGTATGTTACAATTATTTTTTTATACATATATGTATATATATACATTTGTGTTTCACTTGTGCCTCCCTTATTACCAACAAATAAGTGCTGGATTGAATGTCCCAAATGAAGCATTCATGAGTTGACTTTTGAGATCACTAGCTGTTCTCTTCATTTATGGACTCTTAATTTTTGTTCTTGTTTTAATGATATATGTGTAGTTTATCATAGCAAATGTCCTCTTCAGCAGTAGTTAAAATATAAGTAATTTAGTAAATAAGCAAACATTGTTGATCACCACAGCTCTAACAGGCAGTAAACTCAACTTATATCAATGTTTTTAAGGATTTGTCTCTGCAGGTATAGTGACCAACTGTCCTGGTGTGCTGAGACTAAGAGGTTTTCAAGGAAGATAGACTTTCATAACAAAACACATGACAGGGCTAAGGTGTGGTTCAAGTGGTAGGGCATCTGCTTAGCAAGCACAAATCCCCAAGTTCAAACCCCAGTACACACACACACACACATGCACACGCACACACACACACACACAATTCATGATAGTTCCACTTATAATGGGATACTCAAAAAACATATTCTCATTGTTAGTATTTGGGCTGTTTGTTTCTGTTTGAACTAACAAATTCATGCGTAATTGTTGACTGGCTTGTCTCATTTTATATAAGAAATAAATCTTGCAGATGAGGAGCAAGAATACAAATAACTAAGTTTTCAGTCCCATAAAATCCTTCTTACCCTTCTTCAGAACAGAACCTCATTTCTGTTTGTGATTTCCTGTTGGAGAAAGAGGCTTACCAATACCTTGAACTATATCCATTAGAAATCACCAGTTATTAGAGAACCAGACTGTGTTATTTCCAGACTGTCCAAATCCAGCTGTCCTTACAACTTAATGTCTTTCTAGCTGCACTTTTGAACCATTTTCTTTTTCTTGATAGGATCCAGTGATCTATCCAGTTCACTCTACTAACTAAACATTAAATGATAAAGTTTGTGAGAAAAAATAGAAAACATTATTTCTTTCTCATAATTGTCCCCTGCAAATTTACCTATAGACCTGATTCTTCAGCTTCCACTGGATAAAATACATGTCAGGCCTCCTATTTTTGTGGTTACCTTCAAACAATAGTCATCTGATTTTACTATTATTCCCCCAAATAAGAAATACAGAAATGGATATGTCTGTCCATCATTGTAATAAAAATCCAAAGTTCACTCAAAATTAAACTTCTCCCTTCCCAAAGGAAAGAGTTATATGCTCAGTGTTTGACTTCTGTCTTTAGTAACCATCTCCTCCCTACATCACAATTATTATCTCAAGTTTCAAACTCTTCCATGCCTGGTATATGAAAAGGGAGAAGAGACAAGGGGCAGAAAAGCTATATAGGGACTAGGACACATTGGAAGGTAATGAAACTGGCCTTTGCTCATGGAAATTTTCTGATTTTTCAGACTTGCATTGAATATCTCACCTTCAAGTACATGGTCTTTTTGGAAAGCCCTGAGGAACAGCCCATGTTGGCTCTCTCTTATGATAGCCCACATCTACTTCAAGAATCCTTAGCTTAGACCTATCATGTTTAGCAATGTAGTTTCCTTCCAAACAACTCCTGTTTTTCCGTTTGACCACTTAGCAGGTAGCTCTAGCTACAGGCTTTATTTTGAGATTCATTCAGCCTGAGATAGACACTAGTTACTGGTTCCCCAGGTTCCCAGTGATTGTTGAAGCATTTTTCAATAATCTCAAGAAGATAAACCAGCCTCTACCTTCCCACCAATCACCACCATGAAGATAGATGGTGACACTGAGAGCAGCTTCCTCCACTGGAATCCTCCTAATCTCCAACTCAACCCTTCATATTTTCAATATTAGTGAGTAGCTGAAGGTCACAAAACATGATTTAAGACATTTTTTACTCAGTCTAGCACCTCACTTTGGAGTGAGAGGAATTGGCTGCTAGTATCACATGACTTCCACTCTCCTGAGACTGAAATAGTTCCAGTTCATGCCCTAGTGTTGTTTCTTAAAATTTGTCTTTCCTTATGATTTGCTGAGTAATAGAACATGTTCCATGCAGACCTTTAAATATTCTCTTTCTGGAAGACAACATTTATCCATGTGTTATTGATAGCTTCTTATTGGTGTGAGTTGTTATAAGATCTCTGAGTGCAGAAACTACTTCTTACTCCACTCCACAACTATAAGTTTTATATCAATTACCATGGTGAAATCCTTCTAAAGAGTTGTTGACTTAGTATCTCACTTGTAAGAATTTGCTGATATTACCTAAGAAACATTATGACCAAATTCACAAAGGTGACAAAATTGAAGAGACATTGATTTGCTAAAATACAGTCTACCCTCTATACCCACAGGCTCTGCCTCCTTATTCAATAGACTGCCATTTCCTATAAGGGACTTGAGTGTCTCTGAATTTTGGTATCTGCAGAGTTTGGAAGTCCCAAAATCCATTCCCTGTGGTTACAGAGGAGCAATTTTAACAGGAAAAGGAAAACCAAGTAATATTGTGTTGTTTCACACAAATGGCTAATAAATCCTAGCATTGGCCTCAACATTAACTTAAATATTCCCAAATCACAATGCAACTTTGAGACCTATATGTGTGAAAAGTAAATATCCTGAGGAAGGATAAAAGTACAACAAATGTATAACAGCAAGAATTCATGATGATACAGTTTAAATCATTCCCCTTATAATATTTACATGTCCTAAAAAGTAAAGACTAATCTAAGCCATTGATAATTTCTAATAAAATAATTTATATTATTATGGATAGGAATGCTTTAAATATTAGAATCCATAGACATGTAATTACTTTGGATGCTTCTTTGCTGCCTATAAAATATAGTATTGGAAGGGAGGGAAAAAACCCCACATTTTCACATAGGAATCTCCAAGCAAGTCAGTTCCAGTAAAGTAATGCTTATAAAGCAATTCTCATCCTTATAAATTGTCTTCTTGCAGGAAACAGATCTTATCCTGACTTTTAATATTTCAATGCACCGATCTTGGTGGATGGAGAATGGCCCAGGATGTATAGTGACATCAGTGACACCTGCCCCAGATTGGGCCCCAGAAGACCATCGCTACATCACGGTCTCAGAGTGTTTTCTGGAGTACCAGTACATAGAAGTGGCTCATAGTTCCCTCCAGATTGTTCTCGCAGTAAGTATTAACAGCTAAGCACTCCTTCTAGTGCTTCTGGAATTGTTTTATTTCTGGGAAAACTCAGTACACACAAATGAAATCTGTGGGTAAAGTGTGGTCCTTTTACTTTTTCCTAATTAATTTCACTTGTCATAGGAATTTGTCAAGTTAAACCAAGTCATCACCTAGACCAAGTGTGCAGAATTCTTCAGCAATCAGTAAATAGTCTGTGACATCATTAGCACTTTACATAGGAAAGCCAACCAGTTGAGATTTGATTATTTAGCTTTTGATAGACTTTTCCAAAGATTGCAGAGGGAAGATTAGAGGGTTTCCATAAATAACATTCTACATTCTTAAATATATAAAGTTTTGATAATTATTTTTTCCATTAGTGTTTCTGTTGACAAAGTTGCCAGCATATGGATTTCTCTCAGCCATTTGCCCTATCCCCCTCTTCTTTCTTCCTAGATTTCCCCTAGGCTCCTCCCATCACTTATCTCTCCCCTTTTTCAGAACAATTCAGCTTTCCTATAAATTCTACTTCTAGACATTCACACTTCTTTATTTTGCAGTGTTATACCAATAAAGAACACTTCTGTCCTTCTATTAAGAGGAAGCAGAGTTGTAAAGAACAAATTTGTATAAATAAGTTCATGTTATATAAAATAAATTATTTTACATTGCATCATTATGACAAAGATATAAATAAAAACATTCCTTCATCTAGAAGAACTTTTACAAATGGTAACTGCAGAGTACTCTGAGATTTATAAAATTAAGGAGACTTGTTATACATGAATCTATTTATATACTATAAATCCTAGGTTCATATATATTTTTCTTTCTTAGATTTCATGTAGCTCTGCAAATGATGTGCAGTCTTCAAAGTGTTAGCAACAAATTATGCAATTGAAATTTTATTGATTCATAATTAAATATCAAGAAATAAACAATTGGTGAAGCTCTGAGTTCAAGTACCAGGACCTCCAAAAAAAAGAAAAAGAAATAAACAATTAGTTCTGGATAGAATGGCACCAATTAATTTACATAAAATTCTTCTAGAATTAAGAAAAGTAACTGTGTATCATAACATATGCATCATAAGAGATATGTTAAGATAGGCTCGGTATGCTGTGCATTTCCTAAATCCTATAACTAAATATCATACAAATTTGTTCTGAGCTGTATGGGAGGTACATGCCTATAATCCCAGCACTCAGGAGGCTGAAGCAGGAAGATGGGGAGTTCTAGACCAGCCTGGGGTACACATAGAGACCCTGTCTTTAAAACAAAACAAGAAAAAAAAATCAACAACAACAAAAGAAATGGTTTGTTCTGTGTGCCAGCCAGAGACTCTATTAATCACTATCACTAAGAAACAAGGCTAGTTGTACAACCACCTACCTAGTCATCATGGGTTACCATGCCCGAGATCAATGATAGATGTAAAGGATCTGTACTGGCACAGAGATTCTCCTGTTTGGGAGGAGAAACTCATTCAATATTCATTTTCTAGTATTATAGTCACACAGTCCTACCAATCACAAAATGGTCAAAATGGAAAGAGAACAATAAATATTTGAATATTAACATAAATAAATTTCAGAAAATTTGATTTATGTTCTTAGCTACAGAGTTACCAATGTTTTGACTCAAACTGAGTCAGTTTTTCTTCTCAGAGCTCAGAACAGGTCCTGTCTGGGAGTTGGTACCAGTGGGAGCAGGGAGGATGTGGGAAAAGGTTGTAGGAGGGTGAATATGGTACATGTACATGTGCATGTAAATGAAAAAATGAGACCTGCTGAAACTATTCCAGGGATGGGGGGAGGAGGGATAAAGAGGATGATGAAGGGGGTGAATTCAACTGATATAGTTAATATATTGGAAGAACATCTGTAAATGCCATTATGAACCCCCAGCACAACAACAAAAATAAAAATGAAAAAAGACCAAATTTTTAAAAAATAGATGAGAAGGAAAGCTGATTCAGCAGAGAAGGGAGGCTTATTCTCCATCAAAGAATAGAAGAAGGGAGGAGACAGGCTCACAAATCAACATGTCAGTCCTTGGAGGTTGGACAGGCTGTAGATGTAGGATAAAAGAAATGATATAAAGGAAAGGAATATTCAGGTCTTTTCCTGGAATAAGGAGAAATTTTCTTAAAATTCAGGTACTGCATCTTTTATCTTACTTATTCATTACCATGGCAATTATCAACTGTCCTGGCACTGGAGAGTGTATCATTTAGCATGCAGATAGGGTCATAAACAAGTTAGAGGTGTACTGGTGGTCATTCTGGCAAACTGACTGGTTTTGGCTAGCCCAAACTTGTAGAGAGACTTCTGGCTTTAGAATCCTTTTCCTCAAAGATAAAGATTAGGTCAGGGTAGAAATTCAGCTAAGTCACCTAGGCAGTGCACTGAGTGACAAAAGTACTGAGTGATCTCCCTTTAACATTTCCAATCCAAGACCTCTCTTCAAATGAACAAGATCTTCTGTGATAGTCTTAATCTCTAAAACTGTTCAATTTGCTTATCTTGAAGTAAAGATAAGTTAGATTTGATGACATGGAAGTAACTTTTTCATTCTTTAAATCTGTTTATGATAGTATTAATTCTAATGTGCAAAAAGGGAAATATTTCTGAGATTAGGAGACACATAAAATATCTTAATACAGATATTTTAAGAGGGGTTTTAAACAACATATGCCCATTTAGGACCCCTCCTTTTTTTCACTGTTCCCATATTTTGGCAAATGTCTGCATGTTTCAAAGATAATGTAAAGGTACATTTTATGCTTATGAATAGTTACATATAACTATTTTAGAGAGATATTTGACTTTGGGTATGTAACGATATTTACAGATTTTTAAACCCCACATAAAACTTTGGCACACAGGGCATTTCTAAAGAAATACATTCAGACATTAGGCTGGCATAGTACACAATAAAAAATATTTACATAAGTAAAAACAATCTGTAAAAGCAAAGTGGTGGAGATTCCAAGATGGCAGCTAGAGGGAGGAAACAGAAAGCATGCCTCCTGAAGTAAAATCTTGGAGAGACACTGGAGATGCACCTTACAGGAAAAACCACTGAGAAAAGGCAAAATTGTGACTCCTCCACAACTCCAGCCTGCGCATAGCATCTCCACTTCATGTTAAACAGAGAAACCAGGAGGGCTCCCGTGCCACTGCCAGACACCAGCACCCAGACAGCTTGGGAAGACACAGACCACAAGGTGAGCTAAGTGGCATGCAGTACTCCCACAGACAACCCTGAGCCAGATCAACCCCCACCCAAGGAAAAAAGAAAAAAAAACTGAATAAGCAGTAACAACAAAAAAGACATAAAGCAAAGAGGGAGGGTCATCCTGAGCACCAAAGAGGCAGGGAGGGGAAATCCCTCACAACAAGCTGGCCAGAGAAGGCAGGAGCAGCAGCACATGCCCAGCAACCAGGAGCAGGAAAGCTTGTAACAGTGGGGGTGGGAGGAAAACACCACAGGAGTGGGGGAAGACCCACTTCCCATGTCAACTGTAAATAAACAGCAGGCCTGAGAAAGCTGGTGCAGTGCCACCTCCCCCAGTGTGCTTAGAAAGGGGAAAGCTTGTAGCAGTGGCTCACGCACAGGAGAACTCATAAGTAAGCAAAGACCGAGAGGCTAGGTGATTGTTAAGCTCACCCCTGAGACTTGCATAAATAAAGCCTCCAGCAACAGCAGGCTGACAGCAGCGGGCAGATGAGCTGCAGCCTCAGATAGACATTCACAGAACTGTCTCCAGACTTTTTTTTTTTCTCCCTTCCTATGATGAGACAATAACTGAACTAGACCTGCATGCTGAAAAATTTACTGAAACTGTATTGCATTTGAACTTGGGACACTTCAAGTGTTGTTTTTTTTGTTTTGTGTGTTTTTTTCTACTTGTTTATTTATTTTTCCATTTTTCTTTAACTTCTTTGCTTTCCATCTCCTCTCACCCTTCCATTCTAAATATCACCATTGTTATTATTACAAGCTAGAAAATACTTACTTAATTGACACAAGTACAGGGACAGTAACAACACCAAGGGACAATGATGGGAAGGATAGAAAACAGGGAAACCAGTTTCCCCACAGCAAAAAATTACAGGAACCAGAGGGGAAATGAAGAAAACAGATACTCAGATCAGACTCCAACAAAATGAAGATAAACAATTGCCAAAGAACCCAATGAAGCCACAAGAATAAATTTAAAAGAAGAAATACTACAGGTACTCAATGAGAATTTTTATAGAGATGATACTGGATAGGGTCAACCAAAATGTACAGGAGACACTCAAGAAAATTCCAAGACAACAAAATAGAGAATTTGAAAAAGCAAAAGAAGAATAAAGGAAACCATAGAAGCACTGTATAAACACCAAAGTGAACAGAAACGATGATAAATAAAGAATAAATGAACTCAGGACAAAAATAGACAACATTAAAGAGGAAACACCAGGATATGGAAAACCTCCAGAAAAAAGAATGAAACAGAACTGCAAAACAAAACGGAAGGCCAATCCAGCAGAAAGAACAAACAGAAGACAGAATCTCAGAACTTGAAGATGAAATGGTAATTAAAGGAAAAAAAGAAACTATTATTAAACAACTCAAGACTGTGAAAAGAAAATGCAAGAACTCACCGACTCCATCAAAAGACCAACCTGAGAATCATGGGCATTGAAGAAGAGGTGAAGAGGGAATGAATAAATATTCAACAAAATAATAACAGAAAATTTCCCAAATCTAGAGAAAGAGATTCCCATACAGATGCAAGAGGCCTCCAGGAACACCAAACAGACCAGATCAAAATAGAACTACCCGACATTATCATTAAAACAACAATCAGAAACAAGGAAAGAATATTGAAGGCTGTAAGAGAGAAAAAACAATAACATACAAAGTAAACCCAAAAATCACAGCAGACTTTCTCAACAGAAACATTAAAAAGAAGAGCTTGGGGTGAGATCTTCCGGGCACTGAATGAAAAT